AATTATTTCTATGTTGGACTCAAAATTTGTATCTTTTCTATCAAATATCTAATAATTATCTAACAATTATATACTCCAATTCTTCCTATATCGAGAAAGACGATTTATTTATCTATTTATAATTTTATATAAATAAAAATAAAAATTTATATAATCAATCTTTATTATTGTACGTGATTATTTTTAAAAGTTTCAAAGAGGGCATACGAGTACAGATTATACATAAATATCTTAATTGTTTTACTAACTCGTACTTTATGCAAGCCTGTTGCTTGTACAACCTTTTCAGCCCTTCGTTCAGCTTTTTCTCACGCTTGGTTCCCACACTCTTAGAAAGTTTTTTTTTTATTGTTAAAACCTTAGAATCACCAAAATCTCTTGTTGCTTTCATTCGCTAGGAGAAAGAGGAGGAGTCTAAATTTGACGATGCCATGGGAATTCCACTCGAAATTTTTACCTCTTTTTCGTGTCTTTACAAAAAGATAGGAAAAAAAAAGATATTAAAAAAAAGGAAGCAGAAAAATCATTAACTCGAAATAACCTAAGACCCAACGCCGATTTTATGGTCCTCTTTTCAAGACACCGCCTACACTGTTCTTTTTTCTTTCTTTTTTTTTTTTTATAGCGTGAGAACATTTCTACGAGCAGTCTTCTCAATCTTTCGTGTAGGTTCTCCTAAAGATTCTTTCATGTGATTATGGAATCTATATAATATAGTATGATTTATGTACAACATCCAAATTATTCAAAAATTGTCATTGTTATTATTGAACATTTTCTGAATTATAAACAATCATTTGACAAATGAAACGAGTGACATCAAACGTAAACGTTAACGTAACGAATTCACCAACTGGCAAGCGTCCATCCCTCTTTGAAAACAGTTTTAGTTTTCAAAGAAGAACTGACATACTCTGGGAATCATCGATATTTCCCATACTCACCATGAGTGAACAACGAGAACGCGAGTGGAATACGCAACCGTCTTTGGTTCCCACCGACCAAACCTTGTGAACTGGAACAATTCCTAAAAGTAACTTCAAATCATTGTACCATAGTACTATTATTTATGTGTCATAATATAAAAATGTTATTAATTACAAATACGAGATTTTCAATAATCTATAACAGTACTCATTTGATCCATAAACAATTTTTCAATGCATAAAATTGATATAATCAATATTTATAGATTATGTCACTTGTACAACACTTTTAATGATTTAGAATGATTTATTCCGAACATCTAAACCACATCATTTCAATGATCTATAAATACTTATTAATTAGGTTAGAAAAATTTCCTGTATGTTTTTCATATTTTCATGAGATCAGACAAACCTAACCAGTCACACTAATGCTAATTACGTATTCAAATACTACCCTGTCGGGAGCGTGAGAAAATCGGTGAAATTTTCATGCGGAACGTTGTCACCGGTAGACAACGCACACGTACCAATGCTATACTTACTTCTGAATAATGCAAGGCTCATGCGAACATGAACGATTTGCACAGCTATATGTTCAACGTACAAATACGTTCTTCGTGTTTACGAGCGGTAATGTTATATGCCCGAAGTAATACGAGTTTGACTAGTATATTACTATCAAGTGTGACTCATCTGACGTAAATAAGCAAAAATGTTTCGAAATATTTTTTTTAATTTGACGTATAAAAATGTTCATCTCGTTAGATTAATCCAGTTAATGTGAATTAAATAAATTCTTCATATAGAAACAAAAACATTAATATATTACTTATAAATTAGCATTTTATGAAATGCATTCACACGACAGACCATTTCCATTAAATTTAAATTTACATACCCTTTTTTAATCGATCTATTATATCTTTTCTATTTTTATATCGACCTTTTCCAAATGACCATTTAGTTCGATTAATCGACGTAGCAATTCTACACCAATAAATTAAATTTGCATTGAAATCTCCGGATTAGATGTCTTCGTTCTCAGTCATCTCCTTCTCTCCTGATCCCTTTTAACCGAATACGCCACTTGTCTAAGCAACCGAACGTAGCGCGCCTTAACCTACTTTTGGGTGTTCACCACCTCCCCGTGTTCCATACTTTCCTGTCAGTTTACTTATTAATTTAGATTATGTCGTGCAAGAGCTAATTGCACTGAAACATTCAATTCGCTTCACTGCATTCTAATTTCTCACCCTACCTCTCTGACTTTTCTAAAAACATCGATTTTAAGTATATCGAGTAGTCTCCATCTGTAATACTGGATTTCATTTATTTCATATTATCCGAGACTGTTGATTAGAATAAGGTAGAATGTCTGATACGCATAGAAATATTTCTTGTAGAAAAAAAAAATATATATATATATATATGTATAAAAATAATATTTTTAAAATATCTTACTTTTATTCAAACATTTTCACCTAAATAAATATCAATAATAATAGAATTATTTATAAAAGAACAATGTTAAGAATATTACTATAAACATTAATACTCTCTCTACTATTTACATATAATAAATACTATTACATAAAATATAAGAAAAATAATTGAATGCTCGCTGAAGTGCCAAACGCGAAGGAATTCTCAAGTTGGTATAACGCACAAATAACACACACATATACAAAGACGTTGGTTCACACGTAAAGTATGCGCAATAGGTAGGCTTACTACCAGCCGAAATTCTCGTAGGCTACCCAGGTATCGTGTCTCGCTCTTCTGCTCTCCTAGTAAAGTGATACAGTTTATTGGACTTCTTCGGATTGGAATGTGCCGTCAATGACATCCTTATCTCAATTTCTCAATAGAAGGTAAGGGTGTTATATAGGGTACGTGCCCAATATTAGTTTTCTGATAGGCTTTTATGATTTGGCACGTATGCGCACGTACCATTTACCGTTATAGCGGATGAACAGCAGGTAGTAGTATACGTAGAAGTGTTAGTTGGTTAGTAGGGAGATTTCAAGTATCCGAAGGTCGAACGTATATGTATAACGTGTTCTATGCATCTGTGTGCGTGCGTACATGTGCGGACACTCTAAAGAAGAGACATGATCTACCAGCTGTATTTTTATACTCTGCTGATAAATCGACTATGCCTGGTCGACAAGTGCCGAGTCAAGAATTTTAGTTAGTTGATATATTTATAAGAATCAGATTCTTCCATATTTGGTCATTCAATTTCTCCTCTGCCATATTTACGCTAATTAAATTCAAACTATTTTTACGGATAATGAAGTAGAACTGAGAGAAATAATTTTGTGTAGATTATGTATGAATAAATTGTTGATATCAGATATAAATTATTTACAAATATTCGTCAACTATCATCTTTATTGTTTGTATATGAACCATTTATGTAATTTATATAGAGAATAGTACATATATTTTATCTTATTTTCTACCATTTAAACATCTTTCATGAGAAACATCTTTCAATTATCTAATTTTCATTTATTTTAAGATTAACAATAAAATAATCATTTATAAATGCGTACACAGACAAAATATGAGAGTTCTCAGTCAGCCATATAACGATTTAGTTTAAAACAAATAGATATCCACATTTGATTGGCTAAGTGTTGACAAAAATGTCCAATAAATGTGTAAACCGAAACAAAATGTCCGACTAACGAATAGAATCTAAGTAAAAAACAAATAAGAACAAGTTCCGGAGAATGGAACGAAACGTGAGCATCCTGCCACGCCCTTCGAACATGAAAATGAATCTGATTGGTTCGGAGTTGAATCAAAGGCCAACATACACCGAGTGTAGCCTAAAACGTTACCATGGCACGTTAGCTTTCTATTTTCTCCTGAAAGCCTGGTAGGCCTGTCAGCTGGTCCCATTTTTTCTTGCTTCGCCCAAAATTATTATCCTTTCGATAATTCCAAACTGTTCGTAAACAGACCTCAGTATAGTATACTGTAACGCATATAGGCTTGTCTTTTATTTATTTTTCTTCTCTTCTTCTTCTTCATCTTCTTTAGTTTATTTTAGAATTCCTTTCCTCATCTTTCGTCGTTTGAATCCCCCCAAAATACCACATCGAATTGTTGCTTTCCTATTACCCCGTGGCATTTAACTTGCCCATGGCTTACAATCGTTGGCCTGTTGACCAAATGAACCTGTTTATCTGTCTCCTCTTTTATCCGCTTGGTATATATAGATGTATGTATGAATATGTGTACGTTTCTTCTTCGAACCCAGAACGACAGCCAACTCGTTCCTAGTCGCCTAATCGAAAAATAGCCTCATTATCGATCTTTCTCGATCGAGAGATCTTCCTGTACATATAGATCCTGATCGAACGATCTGAACGAGTCTTTTGTAATCCTTTATTTTGTACAAAGTTTTACAAGTTTTGAATAAGTATTCAATAGTACAAAATACACACTTGACACTTTCCTGCTCACATTTCTTCATTTTTAACATTTGATAAGTACATGTTATTTGAAATTATACATCATTTGTAAAAATATTGAGATCAGGAATAACAAAGCAAGTAATGCAAGTAAATACTTGCATCATGTTACACGAGTACGAAGGGTCGAATAAAGGAAGAAAGAGAGAGAGAGAGAGAGAGAGAGAGAGAAGGAGGCAACCCTAAGTAATTCCTTACCCTTCATACCCGCCTGTTCAGAAAACCAACCAAATTTAGACCTACAAAGGGCCAAGGGTTCCCTGAACATTCCAAGTACAGGACGAAGGAAGAGAAGCAAATACTTGACCTACCACATGGTGTGCTCGTGTGAGGACAAGGGCCAAGTAGATTGGTCAATAAAGAGACTCGTTTCACATCCAGCTCTTCATGCTCGCCTAATCAACGGTCAAACGAATAATTTGTAGAGTACCAAAGCGGGACTACTCGTTAAATCTATGGAATAATTTTCTTCTCCTTCTCGTTAAATTTTATAAGATTCCTCGATAAAAATGAAATAAAAGGAATAATAAATCTTCTGCATAAAATGGTCATCATAACTAATGTAAGCTTCTTTTATCATCTATAGGCTACCAGCACTCGGTATTCAACAGTCAATCGACCATACAAGTCGGTGGCAGATGGAACCAAGACAAGGGAAGGGTCGAGAGACCATTTTTGGGAGTTATCGCGGGTCTTGTGGTCAATAGTGAACGAATCTTAGAACTGGCTGCTGCCAAGAACAGTCGAATTACTACCAGAGGTGACGTTCAACTTTTACCTGCTGGAAGTCTCCTAGATCGGGCTGCACCTTTGCAAAGAATGCAGCAGGTAAATTAATAACTACAATTTTTCTGCTAGCCCAAGCAACGTAATTTTTAATACAACTTATATATGTATTAAACAAAACGAAAATCTAATGCTAATAAAGAAATTTTTGACAATGTCTATACCCAATCCAAGTACCATAGTTGAACCAATTTTCTGTATCGTAGACTCCAGCATCTGGTTTCCCAGGCGTGATGGACGATCTAATCTTTTCCGGTGCCGGAAGTGGATGTGCCGGTGACGACGAAGACGAAGAATGTACTCCCATTTACGAGCCTGGTTCCGGTAAGTGTAAGTAAACATTTCCTCGTGGGTGTAAGTAATTTCCTTCGTCTCTTCTATTCTATCTCATTCGGGGTCGATATACTGTTCGACTAGTTTGCTCTTCCAACGCCAGATGGCATACCTTAATTTCGTTCTATGTTTAAATTTAAAGATTTTATTGTTAATGGGAATCAACATTGTTAACAAAATGATGCATTTAAGTTGCATGACATTCATTTCAATAAATTGTTAGATATTATGGAGAAATTGTTAGATATTTATGCATGTTTTTGAGGATGAATCAGTAACTGCTTTCTCGCAAGTACTTGTGCATCGGTCGTTTACTATATAAGTCCGTGGCAGATCAAGAATGTCGTGTAGTATGAAAGGAGAGCCGTTTAGCACTCCCCTAGACAAGGATGGAATACACATATAATGGTAAGGCACTGTCGCCTTTGGCGGCTCTTACCAGATTTTTTTTTAAACTATAATTTTCATGTACATATGAACTTGCACAAATAATCAGAAATTTTTCAATAATTATACATCAATTATTATATTTATAAAAATCTTTCCAATTGTTACTTATCACAATCAATGCTTTTTTATCTCTTCTCAGTAAATGTAATTTAAATGCAATTTGAAAAAACAAATAGATTATTAATCTATAAAGAAAATTATATATAAATCAAATAATTTAGATAAATATTTAATATTATTTTATTATATTGTTTTAAATGAAAGATACAGAAAATGTATATTATCATAATTTGTACGTTAGACACCTTATTCTTGTTAGATAATTTTAAAAATTATTTAACATATTTTAAATAAAGTTTAACAAATTTAATATCCGATGCTTGACGAGATCATTTTTTTATTATCATTTGCTCTTTCTTCGTAAATGTTAAAAAGATCTGCACGTTATTCAACTAACAGTGTTCTCTCTCGAACCAAGAATATCAACAAAAATTGTAATTTAATATGTTCATTTTAATCCAATTTTTTATTGGCTGTATAAATAATAAAAAAAAAATTTATATTACTTTTCGAAATATTATTAATAACATTGTTATGCTTTCATAATAAATCACAAACAAACAATGAGAAAATAATCCTTTAACACAGTTTCATATTTTTTGCAAATATTTCTAACTTATTTCTAAATTTCTTGGCACCAGTCCATAATTAGTCCAACAAAGTATGGATCGATACCAACGACCATTTGCAATCATGTCTTGTTGAATGGGCAAAGTTCCAAACTAAGAATGAGCCTAACATTACAGCTCACATGATGACTTTTTACATTGTCCTTCTTTCTCCTTGTAATTTTTCATTTTAATCAATGAAATGTAAACAAAAAAAGTTAAACAAATTTTTACTCATATAAATCAATAAATGTTACAAAAAGAGAAATATTTTATATAAAATTACTCACCTCAATGTCATAAATTAATTTTATTTAATTAACGTTAATTAAATCCATATAATAACAACAAAAAATACTGATATGACAATTAGTCGAATAATTAAACATTTTCATGTAAAAATTCACGCATATTTTCTCATCGTTTCAAGATATAAATAATAATTATCATTTATTCAAGATAAATTAAAATATTATTTTATAATAAATAATTAAAAATTATTATATTATATTATATTATATATAAATTTATTTATTATAATAATATATAAATTAAATAAATCGCATCTTCATGATTTTCTTTTCTTTTATTAATCGTATTTATGAAATTTTGATTGAAGCGTTACACGCATGTCTATGATATTTATATGCACACACATATATGTACACATTTAACATTCCTAGATACACAGATACTTAATTATACGTAAAATTTGGAGAAACAAGTATATACTGTGTACAAACACGTCACTGGCATTGTCGTCAACGATATAGAAACAGTAGGACGTTTCTCATTAGCAATATCGCACGTTTAAATGTCAACATCAGGGAGAGAGAGAGAGAGAGACATTACGTTTGGTATTGTCGTCACGTGTCCATAGTTAATTTTCGTGTCATATCAAGCTCGCATTCGTGTCCGAATCGGAATTGTTTAGGAAACCACGAATGCGTGTCACTTTCATGTACAAACAAACAATCTCTATTTAATCATTTATTTACCTTCTTGATTAACACTTATCGATTTCTATAAAAATACATCTATGATTTTCAAACAATCTATCATTCTTATATCAAATATTAACAAAATTAAGCAACGTTTTAAAAGATTTAATTAGTCTATTCTATTCGCTCAATTTAACTCTTTCGTTATTAGCTACCCACATACGGGTTGTCTATATAAAGAACCATATATTAAACGACCCCTATATGTTCTCTACGCATAAATGATTTTTGAACAATTTGAAGAAACGTACACACATTCCTTGAAAAAAAAAAAAATAAGTATAAATACATAAATATAAAACATACCACTCATAATTGAAGTTGACAAATAAATGTACTTTGATTAATCGATAAGTATTGATTTTTTCTTGAAAATATCCTGTTTCTCCGAATGTAATATATAATAATTCTAAAAGTTTATATTATAATAATGAAATGAATATAGTTTATTAATTGTTATTTTTAAAAATGTTTTGCAGACGATTTGATAACACCGGTCTACGTGGCACCAACGAGATTACCAACAACTTCGAGACCAAAACATACCAAAGATAATATTCAAGAACGACCCTCGTGCGATGACGAAGAAGAGGATTGTGAAGAAGGTTCAGGAGAACCTGGAACAACCGAGGAAATAGTCGTCACTTCTACCACCGGTCCGTTTCCAAGGAAATTGAACAAAATTTGTCCTCTATTGCCACTCCTACGCCAATGCTTATCGATCCTACAACCTACTCATTTACTTTCCGACTACGCATTCGCTTTATTCGCGAGTAGAGTATTTCCAAATCCCTAGAAAAAAAAAGGTTGGATATTTCTTTTAAGTTTATTTTACTCTCTATCTGTGTTTATTTTATATCAATTATTTTATTAAACACAATATTAGCAATACATAAACATATTTAATTGACTTCAATATTTCTTTCTATGCACATACGCACACGTACTGCACGATCTATATAACATCAGCTTCACATTCATTCTATGGATCATTTATACATAATTTTATGCTAAATACAAGTTAATTTGTCATACAATGTGTATGTTCACTGTAACGAATTTCTCATATTATCATTCAAGCGTAAAAACAAAGTTATTCTACAAACATTGAAAAATGTATATTAAAATTACTCTTATTTCTTAGAATTCTTGCCGTTATATTAAAACGTATCGAAGTTTCTATTAAATGTTACAATAATGAAGTTTAAAGAGTGAGATAAATAAACGGTCAATCAGAGCTTTCGAAATAAAAAATACTTTTAGGATATGGAAATACTTGTACCTTGGTGACGCTCGTTCTTTCTTTCTCTCTTTCTCTTTGAGCTTGAATATCCCTAAGCCGTATGCGGTGAAAGCTCCGCCAATCCGGTCGCCACAAGCTTGGTTGACCGTCGCAAGCATAGTCGAGTAAGCCCCTTCGATAAGAGAGACACTGAAGACTACTTCTTTCAGTCTGCCATATCTACATCGTAGCGCAATATCCTCGGGCTTCCTCTTTGGCTTCTAAAGAGACACCCCTACAAACCTCTACAAACCCCTACAAACCCCTACATGCATACAACACATTCTCTTATACACATATACGCGAATTCATACACTTGATTTCTCTATTTCAAAGAAAATTATTGTGAGTAATCAATGAGTGATCAGCTTGAGAGCAAACATCACACGAAAGAGTAGATAAAAAAAAAAAAGAAAAACAGGAAGAAAGCTTACTAAGCCTCTTTTTAACTCCCACCCCCTTTTTCTAACTTTTTTCCCGGCGTGACAGCAGACACGAGCAGCCCAGTGACGTACACGACCCTGAGGGAATATTCCACGAGTCACAGCAGCACTCAACACAGTTCGACGACATCCTCCTCCTCATCTTTGTCACCATCGACCCCAACACGGGAATTCGTCACTGTTTCCGGGCAATACAATGGTTCTACAATCGACACGGAAACTAGTCATAGCAGGTAAGCTTTTGAGTGTTCTAATATAATTAAAAAAAAGAAAAAGGAGAAGATCCTACAATCCTTGATCATTTTGAATTTAAAATACAAATCTCTGCAAATAAGCCGCCGTTGTTATTTTAATTGACGTTTTTAGATTTGCGAAGAAAAGAATGTACCTTTGAGTATATAATTAAATAATGCTATAGTCGTTCATATATTACACATCTTCTCATATTATTTTGTTGTTTGTTTGAATATGTAGTAGCAGTAGTGTGACGCCCCGATCGACAACAGTGACAACGCAAACGAGTACAACAGAGATGACGGACCCACCACCACCACCTCCGCCGCCAATTTATCCACCGATGCCAACCCCGCCTAAAAACAATAACAAAAACAAGAGGATAACATCGGAAACTGCGGAGAACGTTGCCCTGATAATTGGTATTATAGCGGGTGCCCTAATCGCGATAGTACTCATCATCCTGATAATACTGAAGTTTAAAAATCGACCGGAAACCAGTTACAAGGTCGACGAGACAAAAACTTTTTGTCAGGATCCAAATGCTGCTTTGCTCGGACCAACTGGTTCGGGGCAGCCGTTTAACGGTGCACTCAAAAATGGCGCAAACGGGAGTAAAACCAATAAGAAACGAGAACTTATAGACATCAAGGAGTGGTATGTGTAGGCCTAGCCAATTGAATGCGTGTATCCTTCGAATTGGACTGTAACTAAGAGAGAGATTAAAGAGAAAACAAGAAATTAGGAAACGGATCGAGAGTGAACGAATGAGAAATAGAGAAAGAAATAAGAGAGAAAGAAAGAAAGAAAGAAAGAAAGAAAGAAAGAAAGAAAGAAAAGAGAGAGATAATCTTATCCATCTTCCATGTCCTACGGCATTTGCCCTCGTACAAAAATAAACCAACAAATATTCCTTTGATCTAACTCTCAACAGAACTTATATTATAAAAGGTGGATTTTTACTTAGAAGAACAAATTGGCGAGATACCGTGTTACATGTACTTGTCAATTAACATTCTTCGATATTTTCCAATCACAAAAGAAAAATCAAAGATCAACAGGATTCGCGTTTTCCAAATTTACGATCCACGATCGCTGACACGATGATTATCTTAACGCATACAATACATAGTTGAATTTTCCTCCGAAGAAAGCAAATCTTTTGTTTATTGTTAAAACGTAGTTGTGAAAGATTATAAACGATATATGTGCGTGTGTAAGTTTTCAGTTTGAAGAGAATAATGTTGGAAAGAATGTTGTAAACTGTAGAAAATGATGAAAGTAATTATATATGAATGATAGTGAAGATGATGATGACAAGGATGAAGATGAAGATGATGATACTACATGGCGATTAAAACTGCACTTATTGTTGTATAGAAAAAAATACATACATATATATATACATATTATATGTATGTATACATAAATATATATATATATATATATATATATATATACATACATATGATATTACCGGTTACGTTATACGTGCAAATTGTTTGTTAAATGATAGATTTTATTAATAAAAAAAAAAAAACAAAGCAAAAGAATAAGCAAGACAAAAAAAAGAAAAAGAGAGAACGAGAAAAGCGTTGTGTCTATATGAGTAGGCGTAAACGCGATCAAAACTTCCGGTATCGATCGTGCGATAGTTAAAACATTACAGATCTCAAAGAAACATTATAAAATGGAAATAACATGAAAAATAAAAATATGAAAAAGAAAGTTATACTATGAGAACGATGCGTTAAATATTTCAACAAAATTTCCCCTAAACCATTCTCTCTCTGTCTCTCTCTCTCTCTCTCTCTCTCTCTCTCTCTGTCTCTCTTTCTCTCTATCTGTTTGTCTGCGAGTGTGTGTGCGTGCGTGTGTTCTCTTCGAGCTACGATATAATTGCCTCTGTTCCGTCGAATCGTTAAAAGACAACTTCGATTATTGTAACACATGAATAAATAATCGTAATAATTGTAATAACGAACCTAAACTGTGACGAGATAATTTCGATGGATTGACGATGAATAAGCGCCTGCACGTTTTATACACATAACAATAAATATATATATACACATATGCGCTAGCGTATGAACACGTATACGCACGCCATATAAACAAATATACATACGTACGTACGTACATACATAATATAAACATACATGCAAACATACAAGCATAGAAACAAACATGCATACAAAAACATACATACATACATACATATAAATATATTTTTTCATAAGAACCAATTAAACCAAACCGGTTGGCACAAGCTCGAGTTCTCGAATATCATTTAATATCTTCTTTCATTTTTTGGTTTATTTCTTGAAAATAATCTTAATTATAATTATTATAATAATAATAATAATAATAATAATAAATAATAATAATAATAATAATTAATAGAGGAAATATATATAAAAAGGAAATGAAGAAAAAAAATATAAAATAAATAAATACACACAAACACATATACATACACAAATAGTACTACGGGTACTGCGTATTATACATGTGTAAGTGCGGGTAAATACACATATACATATATAAAAAAATCTATATAAGTAGTGGATACTACTTATCACATTGATCTCGTACGATCGATCGATCGATCAATCGATCATTTGTTATTCGATGCTGAACTGGAATTTTCGTGAATCTTCCCTTCGAGATGGTATCGTGCGTGATATCAAAAGACGAACTCGGATCCTCGCAACGATCGTGAGAAAATAAATAAATAAATAAAAATAAAAAGAAAAAGAAAAAGAAAAAGAAAAAGAAAGAGTGTGTGTGCGTGTAATCGTGAAATGGTGAACGTTTCATCATAGAAAAAAAAAAAAGAAAAATGAGTAAATAATTACTTATTTAATAATTTATGCGTTGTGTGATCTTCCATTAAAAAGTGTCGAAGAAATCAAACAAGAGAAAAAAAGAGAGAACAAATGATGAATGAAGAGGAAGATTTGTGGAAAGCAATATGTGTACTTTCTTATATATTAAATTATAATATTGAGATAAGAAAAGACTCGATAATACGAAATTACAAGATCGATTAATATCTTATAATTGATAAAATAATCGAAATGCTACTACGATATCTTCGTTTCCGAATTAACGTAAATAAAATAAAATAAAAAGAAAAAGAAAACAAAAAATATGAAAAATTTTCCAATTGATTTAAAAGGCTGCACAAATATGTTGCAACAATTAAATACAAAAAAAAAGAAGATCGTATGTATTTAATATTGATTAGATAATATTGAAATGTTAAATAAGAAAAATTCTGTTATTTTGAATTTGATTAAAAAATTAAAACATTAGTCTAACAAATTGAATGATTACTTTTGGAACAAAAAAAAAATTTATTAGTTAACGCAATTTTTAAAATCATGCAAAAAATTACGATTTAATATTCGTACAAAAATTTGCACATTATTTATTAATAAAACTAACATATTTGATAATGGCTGATCGTGACTGAAAGGAAAAAAAAAGATGAGACTACGCGTGAAAACTAAAAGCACGTTTAAGTGATGATTCATCGAAATCGTTCAGATATGATTAAAAAAAAAAAAAAAAAAAAACAAGTTAAAAAAAAAGAAAAAATAACATTATAATTAAGAGAAAAAAAAATTTCAATAAATAATTGTACACGTCCGATTGTTATAAAAATAAACATACATAGAGCAGGAAAGAAACGAATAAGCAAACATACAAAAATAAATAAAAAGGAAATGGAAACAAAGTTTTTTGCGTTTTAGATGCGCACATTCGCGCAATCTTCAATCCAAAGATAAACAATATTATAATTATACTGACATTTTTATTTAACTTGTGATTCGTTCTACTATCTCTTTCATTTAAAAAAAAAAAAAAACACACTTTTTCGCGCATCCTTCCACGCTGGTGATAAAAAAAAAATCACACACACATGTTAGAAGTGAAATCTTCGAAAAAACAAAGTTTTGAGAGAATGAGACGAACGAGCTTCTCTGTCTCATTCTATCGCAAGCTCAATCCTATATGTTTGTCTCTTTTTCTCTTTTTACTAAAAATCGTAGCCGTTACATAGCCGCCCACTGCTCCGTTACATCGCCGCAACGTTTCATTTTTTTTTTTTTTTTTNCATTTTTTTTTTTTTTTTTGTCAAATCAACTCCCTATTTTCTAAAGAAGTTTTCACTTCAAAAATAAATTACTTTCGATAAAATGTGACTACAATCAAACTTCTTTTTGCAAATTTACGAATATTCGTGCGTACTGGGATTTAATCTTATCGTCAGTGTGTATTTTTATTGATTTCAAAATATCATTTTAAAGTAACGAGTATATAAAATACGATATAGAAATAAATATTTGTCGGGAAAAAAGATATAGCGAAGGAAAAATATTTAAAATTAATAATTATACTAATAATTATAATAACATAATAATAATAATAATAATAATAATAATAATGATAACAATAGTAATAATAATAATAATAATAAAAATAATAATAATACTACTAATAATAATTATTATAATAATAATTATAGTAATAATAATAATTTAAAAAAAAAAAACAAATAAATAAAAATCATATAGTCCCCAGTATCATTACAGTGCGCTTGATGTCATAAACAAAAAAAAAAACCTAAACACGTATTATTGCGCAAACGCAAACGCAAACGCAAAAGGCGCTTATTACAATGATTAATTAAAAACTATTTCATAAAAGAAAAAAAAGAGAGAAATAAAGGAAGAAAAAAAAAACGCTCGCGCCATTTTAAATATTAGAATACGCATCAAGCATTTCGTGTATATTTATATTTGTATATACATGTGTGAATCCGTATGCTTGTGTATGTAAAAAGATATTAGGTAATTGTAAATGAAATGAATATGCTCGTATCTTTAATTGAAGATTTTTTTTCTTTAAGAAATTATTTAATCTAACAACAACAAATGCACCTATTCCTTCGTACATAAAATCAATTTCATGTGATAATGTTTTTAACAAATTTTTTTCATAATTTCATCGTTCGTTTTATTTAAAAATAATTATACGAAATCTTTTGTTGAAAATGCATGCATGTCTTTAAACGTATGAATAATTCATAAATAATGAATGTGAAACGAGGAAAAGTGCACGCACGAATAATCGAAATCGTTTGAATTTATTATTAAATTATTTCCGTTATATCGATCGTTTTTATCTATCATTTATTCAAACGAAAAATTATGCGTGGAAGGTAAGAAGAGCGAAAGCTTGAAAAAACAAAAAACCAAAAAAAAACACACAAAAATCTTGTTGTCTCGGCGCGCGTAATTTTTGAAACATCCAACTACTTGCGTCTATATCGCACAAAAGCTTAAATTCGCGTTCGTATTACAAAAAAAAAAAAAAAGAAAAAACCAGAAATAGAAAAGATTTCTGACGTCGATTACGATTTTTAAAACATCTGTGAGAAGTAAAAAAAAAAAATGTTGAATTATACAAAATGTTATTAAAATAAAAATTCTCTCTCAAATTGAATTCAAATTTATTGTTTGCTTTGCTTGAAACTTAAATTATAATTGCTTTTGAAATTGACTTCAGAATGATTTTTTTGTCGGTTGTAAATCGATTACTATGTCGAATCGAAGAAAAATAATAATTGGAAAACTGCAATATGAAATCAATTTTTTGGTAATATTAACAATTGTTTTCATTCAGAAATTAAATTACAAATAAAACATCGAAATTGTTTCAATCCTTGATGAAAAAACCATAAACCATGGATCGAATATAATTAATCGAAAATCGGGCTTATTTTCATCTTATAAAATGTATATTTCAACGATGATGTTTTCGCATAACGCTTAAAAAAATAACTTTTCATAAAATCCCAAAAAGATAAAAATAAAAGAAATGGAAGAGCACAATAATAATAATAATAATAATAATATTAATAATAATAACAATAGTTATAATAAGAATAAGAATAATAATAATAATATTAAAATTCTTAATATTAATAATAATAATAATAATATAAATTATAAATAATAATACAATTATTAATAATAACAATAAATATAAATAATAAACATTGGCGAGAGTTTCTTAAAAAAAAAGCAATCAGAATTACGCCGGCGTTACTTTTGTCGCAAGTTTTTGTCACCCCTGACCACCCAACCATGAACAATCTCCATTTCTGCATTATTTTCAGATCAAAAGCTATAAATATAATGATGCGAATCGATGTCGATTTCTTAGAATTTAGAAAAAGAGAAACACGACTTTGAATATGAACAGGCAGTCTTAACGATATTTCTAACCTCCTCGCACCGTAAAGCGAACAGAATTGCGCGAAGACATGTGTATGTATGTATATGTATGTATGTATAATTATTTAATTATTTATTAATTTATTTTTCCTTATGACACTCTCTCTTTCTCACTCTGTCTCTTTTCGATGAAATATCAAAAAATCGCAAAATAAAATCCTCAATATTTCAATTAACACATTCGCGGCCGACATATTTTTTCCTTTTTTTAATACTGAGAATCGACAAAAATAATGAATTATTTAAATTTATATTTAAATGATACAAAATATAATTATTTAAATATTATATTGATATAATTAAATATAAATTTTTTAAATTTAAAATGACGTGAATTTCATGTCAGCGTTTAATTAAGAATAGAACTTGAAAAGACGTGAATTCAAGTCAACGGTTGCGAATGTGTTAATATTTTATTATTATTATTATTATTAT